AGACACTCCCCCCCCCCCCCGGCTTTAAGAGAACACACTACCGTTGAGGAAAGAGGTTTGTTGACACGGGCTTTTCTAACACACCCTCGAGGAGGCGAACCTCTCAGGAGTGAAGAGGCGACATTCTATGGTTCTTCAAACTCTGCCCAGATTGGTTGATTAACTGGCGCCCACAACTGATATACTAACTTGATTCGGCCGACAATTTAGCCTTGGTTACGCGTGTAGGGCGCATGTTGGCTGATTTCAGAGTCGCGTCACTAATGAAAAGCAACAAGCTAAAAGGTGAGAGGGAACGACTTGCGATAACTCAATAATTTTCGAATTTCAAATAACTACCACTCTGTCCGAGGGTCTCCAAGTCCCCGTCTGCTTGATGACGTCATATTTAGCCAGAACAAGGAACCCTAGTTGATAATGGCCCGGTTGCTGAATGCTAAAAGCCAGTAGACAGATTCACCGAGGCGCGCTAGCATTTGTGATCTGGGAATATGCAAGCATGTTGAGTACTTCACTTAAAACAAAGTGAAAATTTCTGTTCCATTCCCGGGAGAGACGCTAAAAAACACTTGGATATGAATCAGAGTGCAGAAAACAAACGATGTGGTTTATATCGGTCACCTATGGGGAGACACCCTTGTGGAAGGAACAATATGATACCCTGCTGGTCGTGGCTGAATGGTCAAGGATTCAAGCTACCAACCGGGAAGGTCGCGAATCAGACACAACCTCCTGGAGTTGAAGAGAAAAACCGCACTGCTGACGATTCCCAACGAGGATAAAACAGCTGTACAGTGCCACTCAGCTTCTCAGCATAGATTGGCTTCACTAACGGAACGAAATCTCATTTAAAAATATGGTATCCCCTAGAATGTTTCTCTTTTTCGGTGGGGGAGGGGGAAGCGCAATACCGCGGTTTTGCTCCGGGCATGGACCTCCTGTGATCGACTGAAATCCAAGGCAAGTTGTGGACAGAAAACGCCATTTTCACATAGTGCGTGTGTCTAACTATGCCCCAATAATGAAGAATCTTTTCCTCTTTTTTTCCTGTAGTTCAACGGAGCCACCGATGTAAAATCGATACCTGATGTGCGCAGCCCTGCCCAATTCTCTAAGACATCATTCGAACCCTCAAGTCGTCTAAACGCGGAAGAACTGCGGCGGAAACGGTTGAATTTGCGTGACCTTTTGGGCTCTCATAGCTGCGTCTATCCCGAATGTAAACGAGCTCGAGAGGAATGGGCGACGTGTCGTACGGTTGTATCCAAAGAACAGGTATGCTTTCACTCTACCCATAGGTGTTTTGGGTCTGTCTTGTCTCAGAATTACATATGAGTTATTCAGATGGACTAGACAAGAAGTTTTTGAGTTCCTACGTTCATCAAAACCCTTACCCTGTGCATACGAATCTTCCAATCAATAAGCGATGAACCTAGAAAGCTCACACAAGTCATCCCTTTTTAGCTCTCATGAACTTAAGGGTGTTTGACACCTTCTAAGGCTTGAAGAATCCGTCTCAAGTGCGAAGGCTGTAGATCCTTTACCCTGTCACAAACATTTCTAATATGTCTTCCCCTGTCTTCGATCAATTTCAGTTATCCATGGATGCACAAGTGCGCCAAGTATTCATCGAGCTGGTTCACTTCTACGCGCGTTTGAGGAAGGATCTGATTGAACATCGTGAACCGGCTGGGATCGAGGATACAAGGTCATCCCATTCGGCGATTCGAGTCAAATGGCACTGTAACACTAGCATGACGGAATGCTATGAGAATTTGATGGAACGAGTCAGACAGTTGAGTGCCTGTGAACTGCCCCAAGTGGTAAAGTTGAGGGCGAAGGCAAAATCCTTGGAACAGTTATGGGTTGGACCCCGGGGAGAATCATCCCAACTTGAGCTGAAAAGATTAGGATCTGGGTCAGAGAATGGACGAGACGTCTTGGATCACGATTTTGTCAAAAGTCTGAACGGAAGAAGTTCAGTGAGCTCCACTGAATCATCTTCAGACATTCACATCCATCTTGGTGATCATCTTGAAGGCGAGCGTTTACTGAATGGAACCCACTCGACTCGGACAACAGCAACATTACATTTGGCGCAGGCCGACAGATCGGAACAAGCTATCGACTTTACTCAAGCTCCAATTTCTGTCCGCAGGCTGGCCTGCCCAGCTCAGCTTGCTTCTGCGTCAATCGGTGCCGAAGATTCGATGTTTTCTGTTATCGGAGATGTATCCGAGGCTTCGAGTAATTTATCTGTCTCCGGTTTGAATAATCCTGTCGATGACGGTGAGCGCATGCAGGAAAAGAACCATTCCGCCTGGGTGACAGAGCCATCACACCACTTGGCTGTGCACAATGGATCATCCAAAACGACTGAAAAACATTTAGCTAAACAAGACCAAGCTATGGAGATGGACCAACCGTTTGCTTCTGTTCGCAAATCCGACGAGTCCAGAGTCAAAACTTCTTTCTTGTCGGTGGAACACAAAGAATTTACGTTTTCGGTTGACATAAAGTACGCGACCGGTGAATCGGTCTTGGATTCGAGCAATCCCTCAGGTGAGCATCACGCTGAGTGTATGTTGAACGGGGACCGTTCCGCTCAAATAGCGGAAGCACCGCACTCGGAGGAAGCAGGTGTCGTTGCGCTCGGAAAAACCTCCGAAGACACTGACGATGGCCAAAAATCAGCTCCCCTTTGGGGGTTTGACGGCCTCAAATCAGGGTCTGGTTTTCGATCTGTTTNCCGAAGACACTGACGATGGCCAAAAATCAGCTCCCCTTTGGGGGTTTGACGGCCTCAAATCAGGGTCTGGTTTTCGATCCGTTTGTAATGAGTTACCTACACTTCCTGCTGACACGAAGATGGCACTCTCCCCCTCTGACGATCAGTTTGGAATTCAACGTCTTTTGAGCGGAAATCGTTCACAGTCACAACTGAAGCGAGACAAAGATAAGCCCATTTACCGAACTCCCGAACAGCGATCTGAACAAGAACAAGAAACAGGAGTTGATCAAAATCCAGCTCCCTTTGGAATAGCTGATGACCTGAAATCACCACCTGCCCTTTCTCCGGTTGATCTTAAGGAAAATGTAGATCCTGTGAAGGTGAACATTTCCGGGGCTCCGGGTGACGAAAAATCACCTGCAGTTGACACACCAACCTCTTTGTTGAATGCAGCTCGACAAGCACAGTTGATGAAGTCGTATCTCACAAAACACAGACGTGACAAGCGAAGACATCGAAAACAACAGAAAAATTCCGAAAACACCGTTGCTTTCATTGGCACAACGGAAAACAGGCAGAATGGTCACGCAACTACCGAACGTGGTCGGGTGGATAGCCAGCAGACTGTTTCAGTTCACGACAGACCCCAAGTGAAGCCGTTCGTGAGCACTGAAGTTCATATTGAACTTTTAACTCAGACACCTCCCGGAACCTATGAAGTTTCTCGGATCGCATCACGAACGAACTCTTCAGCTTCCGAAGAAGCCGGCAGCAATCCGCTTCCAGATGAGGAATTAAATCACCTAGACGAGTCATCCCAAATCCATCCTGCAGTGTCAGCTTCGAGTCCTTTCTCAAACTTAATGGTTCCAGAAGTACGAAACGGACTGGAGCATTCGACAAAACAGTCTCATCAGCCTCTCAGATCGTTGTTTCCGCAGCCATTAGCTTCATCCACACCTTCGTATCCAGCGTCTGATTTGTTACCCGCTCCGGTCAATGGGTTGGGCATGCGTCCAGCCCTACAACCGACTGCCGTTCAGAGTTCCAACGAAAACGGTGTGGCTGAAGAATCACGCACTCCTGAAAAAGAAACTGACAAAGATTTAATACGTTCCGGTAATGGGATGCCCATAAAACAGTCAACCGTCCCTACAGTTGTTATGGATGGTATGCCGACAACTCGCGCACAAATTACACATCACGCAAGAAGAACTCAAACAGACACCCCATTGCCAATCACACAAGAAAATTCGCAGAGCATCAACACCGAAACCAAAGAGGACTATGGCAGAAATGATACAGAATGGATAACCGTGCAAAGGGACATCCACCGAAAACGAACAAAAAGCAAGAAACCCCGCGCGAAGACACCGAAAAAAGCTAGTAAAATACAACCCGAAAAATTCAAGAATGACGACGCCGAAACAAAACCCCGATTAGCAGGTCAAACAATTATTCCGCTTAACACCCAATTAGCTGCGGGGAAAGGAGAAACTAAAGAAGCCCAAAAACAACCAAATAGTCCTAACACCAAGGACATACCAGACGGAACAACATACACACAGGAGAAACATCCGCAACAGCATATTAAGCAAACGATGGAAAAACTCAACCAGCTTCAGAAAACCGTGGTTTGCC